GGGGATGGTGCGGAGCTTGCGCGGGGCTCCCGCGGGCAGCGCCGGCCGCCAGGGGGCGCCTGCGGCTGTGCGCACACGTGCGTGCGCGCCTATCTGTGCGTGTGCGTGCCTCTGCCCGTGTATGGGCGTCTCTGTGTGTGCGCGTGTGTGCCCGGTGGGGGCGGGCAGGTGCCGCTGCAGCCGCCGGAGGTTTGCTTGCGGAGCGGGTGTGCGCTGGGTGTGCACCATGGCTTCAGAGGCTCTTCACCCCCCGCGAAAGCAGCCTAAAACGCGTGTCCTCGCAGCGCCGGGCTCCTGAGCGCTGCCCCGAGCCTGGGGGTGCGGGAGAGCTGATCCTCGGAGGGGTGCTGGCTTCCGCCGAGAGCCCCCGGGGCTCTCTGCCCAAAACGGAGCGGGGGTATGAGATGGTAGCACTCCCTGCCAGAGCCACGGGGTTGGCAACCGGCTGGGGCAAAGCAGAGCCTGGATGCAGCGGGCTGCCCCGGGCAGAGCCAAGGCACTCAGGGAAGCCGGGATCAAGCAGCTGCGGGGGCTCCTTGGGAGGCAGGCACTAGGGATCTCCATCCAGCCCCTGCTCGCCCCGATCGGAGCAGCTGCAACCTCTGCATTAGGTGAGGGGAGCTGCGGCAGCCAGGTTTTTCCGCTCTCCAGACCTCAGGCACTCTGGTTACAGCGGGAAGATCCCGTTGGTATAGTGGTGGGATGCCCGGACCAGAGGGTGGAGGAGTCGCTGCCCTAATCCATCTCATCACTTTTATGCAAAGAAGAGATTAGGACTCATAACTTCCGGGATCAGGTGGGATGGGGGGAGATGCAATGAGAGCAGGCATCGGGGACAAAGTGGGGCACTGCTCAGAGGATGAGCGGGTGGTAAAGGAGGAGGAAAAGATCCTTTGGGGGGTTATTTTTTAAGAGAACTGGTGCTGGAACCTGGGGCAGGATGCAGGATGAAGAAACACTCCCTTATTAAGAGTGGAGTAATAAAGGATTAGCAGATGTCTTAACTCCGTGGCAGACACCAGTAGTGCAGCGTAATGCAGATGCAAACATCTGTAGTAGGTACATAGATGGTCCTGCAGGCCACAGCCATAAGCAGCTCTTTGTTGGACCAGTTGGTTGACCACTGAAGTCCTTTAAAAGCCCTAGTGCTAGAAATAGCATGTAAACCTCCAGTGGGAGAGGCCAGTATTATTTCCTGTCACTTAATGAGCCTTTGTTGGCGACATTCTGAGTTACCACCTCCGAAAAGGGGGAGATTTTTTTTTTTTCTTCTTTAAATGAAAATAGAATGATGTCTGTGGATATGAAAAAGTCCTGACAACCCATTATTATCTAATCAGACATAATTGAGTCTCTGATGAGTTCGGTGGAGTAATAAGCCAGTGTTGCTAGCTGCTGAAAGGACACCGAACTTTCAAGTATTTCAGCAGCGTGTAGTGAATTGTGACTCTGTCACGAACTCGACAGAAAAATGTAAACGGGGAGGATTCTTCTGGGGACACACCTATTTTTCAGAGGCATCATCTTAGTGGTGAGGAAAGGAGGCGGCATTGGAAATGAAGGAGAAATGTCCCCTGACCTATGCTGTCCTGGGCTACTCCCAGGAAGCCCTAGATACGGCACCATCCTGCTAGTCTGTACAGTGCAGGGCAGAGATGCACCTTATAGGTGACCAGAATTGGAGATGCATAAGCTTTCATGAACAAGAGCTCGTTTCAACATCAGGCTAATACTAAGCTGTTCCTTATAGGAGGCAGGGACCCCGTCCTCTTCTTCTGTGATGACCTTCAAACCCCGAGCCCTCTCTCTTCTGCTGCTTACCCCGTTAATACCTGCTTTTAAAGAGCAGGATCCCAATCGTTCATAGACACTGGGGCTGGAAGGGACCTTGAAGATCATCGAGTCCAGCCCCCGATCATAATTGTCATCGGCCCCTTTCAGCTGTAGTGGTAACGGGGCCGCTATACTTCGATGGTCAAAAGTCCTTTTTATTATATTTCTGTCTATTGAGATGTGTTGGGAATGTCTCAAAGAAGAAAGAAATCATGACCCTTCCCTGGAGGAGTCAACAAGCTAACAAATAGACAGGATGCAATGAGGAAGAAACAATACAACAGGGGAGATAAGGAGGGAAGACAGAGTAGTAGCAGTGAGACCAGGTGATTACTCAGCGAGGGTTAGTAGTGTGGTATGCTGGAGATCGTGGGGTGTTTTTTGGTTTGCCTTGTTTTGTTCTGTGTTTTTCAATGATTGCTACTCCATTACTTTGGTCACAGCAGCAAGGGGTCTTAAGGAGGGGGCCAGGCAGATTAGGAAGGGTATCCAAGGTAGATAGGTTGGTGATGTATGTTAGCGAGAAAAGCAGATGAGTGGGGCGTTGAGGCTGGCATTGCTGTTGGAGCAGGTGGTTTTGGAAGGTGAAGACGCTTGATGTCGTGGAGAAGGAGGATTTGGGAGTGCCATGGACTAGGTGTCGGGTCTGGAAGGTGATCTGACAAGTCCTGTTATAGATGAAGTGCAGAGATGCTCTGGGGGTGTCGGGGAAGCCATCTGCACCAGGTAAACTTCTTGATCCACACGACTTAAAAATATCTCGTTAATACAGCCCTGAATGCTGTGGTTTATAGTAGGAAGGCTGCTGGCAAATGTTGTGCTAATTGTGTTGCTGCTGTCCAGCTGCTATGGGCTACTGTAGCATCCCTTTGGGTTGTGGGAACCTGCTATATATCGTTAGTGTTTGCAATCTCCCGGATGTTTTCCTGCTTTTTGCAATCTCCCGGACGTTTTCCTGTTTAAAACAGCACGTTGAGTCTTTCCACTTTTGTGCATCTTGGACAATGGAAATAGATTTGTCGGTTTCCCTTTCCCCTGGAGAAGCTTTCGACTGGCTTCTTATTTTCTGCGTCTCGTGCGTTCCCAGCTCAGTGACACGGAGGTTTGGGTTGCCAGCCCTGCAGGGGAAGACAGCAAATGCAAAGAAAAACGGTTGTGCTGGCATTTAGAAATTATGAAAACAGTTCTAGTAAAAGCAGGCTTTGACAAACCTCAGATCCCAAAATACCGCCGTGAGGGCTATTTGGAAGCAGTGTATTTATAACTATTCTAGGTTTTATTTTTATTCCTTTGTTTTAAACAAAGCTAAATAAACAGGAGCAAGAAAAGAAAACTGAAGTGACATCTGATGGCAGAATTGTAACAGGCTAGGCGATGCTACTCAGAAATAAGCCTACTACCCAGATCTTGCAGTTTTACACAAATAATCCTTGCCCGCACTATTAGGTCTGTTAATGGCAGTGGAGTAACTTGTGTAAGGCTGGACTGCTGGCGTGTCCAGCCACATCCAACCTCTGGTTCAGCCACAAGTTATTAGACTTTGTAGTGTCTGTTGTCTTACTAGGAAAGAGTAATTCCTTGCATTAGGAACCAGTAGGTGAAATGTGGCCTGTGTAATGTGAGCAAGATGTCTGTGACCGTTGTAGTGTAAAGTCTATGAACCTCTGAGTCCATCTCAGTTCATGGGGGGTGGGGGGCGTGGGAGGGAGACCGGCAGTCGCTTTTCTGGGAACGTTAAAAGATTGTGTAGGAAAGAGTGTACATAGACCTCCCATGTAATTGTTCCTGGGAAGAAATTGTGTTGATTAGTGAACAGTTTCGGAGACGGTGTTTAGAGCGCTGCTTTATAAATGTAGGTCAAGCAGCTGTTTGCACGGAGTCCACAATCTTGATTATATTGGGTACGATGACACATTAATATTGCATGATCTCGCATCACTTG